ATGGCTTAATAACTCCAAGTTTGTGATGGTTTGCTTTTATTTTTTTTATTATTATTTTTTTAGCTGAGCTATCCTGCTACCTATTGGCAGCTCAGCGGCTGCTCAGCTCGGGCTGGACTCAAACCGCTGTTGCTCAGAGCTCAAACTCTTGAGCGAGCTCTTAACCAACTGAGCCACTCGGCCGGCCCTAGATGGTTTGCTTTTATAATTGATGATGAGTTGTGTTTTTGATTAAAAATCAAAATTTGAAATGAGAGCAAAAACAGACAGCAACTCCTTTTTTCTTATCTCATGTCTTGCTGCTTGGAGAACTGGTGACATTTTCTTAAGTTGGCTCTATCTGTCCTGTATGTAGTCACAGCAAAGTGTCCAAGAGTATTTGGTTGACTATTGGATAGAATTGAATATACAGCTGGATAGAGTTGAATATACTCAGTTGAGAGTATACTGTCAAGAACTGTCTGGCTAGAGATTTCCCCCCAACTCTAAGACAGTGCCTTTACCCGTTGGTGTTTTCCATAGTTAATAGTGTGGGTTAGTTCTGGTGTGTCACCTGTCACATGTCTGATAGATCACATGACAGCCATGTGGAGCCTGCAGAGCAAGCCTCCGCGTGTAAGGACCTGTTTGAAGAGGGACATGAGTGGCAGTGGAGCAGGTGCTCTTTCAGCCGGGCTATTCCTGTCCTTTTATCTAGTGTTCACACTTACGTGCAAAGAAACAGCTCTCATATTAGCCTCTCTCTCTCTCTCTCTCTCTCTCTCTCTCTCTCTCTCTCAATATTGAAATCTCTTAATATTGAAACAGAGAGTAAGAAATAACAATAGCAGGAAACTACCAAATGCAGATTTTGACTCTCCAATCCAAGAATACGTGTCATACACACCTAGTGGTGGTAGATGGTGACGTCTTGGCAGCCGTATGTGAACTGTGTAAAAACAGACGAGGATACTGGACTTCCACTTGACACTTATGTAGCCCACACCTCCTCAGGGTACAAGCGAATCTTGAACTTGTGCTCTGCATATGGCAGAGCGTGGACTTCCCCACTGGCTCTTGGTAAATCCCTGGCTGAGGGGACCAAGTTCCTAGGCTAACGTGGCAGGAATGCCAGTGTGGGGCTCACAGTGGTTAATGTGCTTAGTTCCCCGTCCTCTTTGAAGACAATAAAATTCATTAGAGTAAAATACATTTTGAAGGTTGATATGCATCTTGTTTACCTGATTAAAAATTCTTTTGTTTTTAGACTCTTGGATACTAAATTGATGGCCAGCACACAACCTTTTAAGGTATTTTAAAAAGTTGAAATTTTCTGAGTTGCTCCTGAGAGTTTTGGAGACTTCTGATCTGTTTAAATGTCATTTTCGAATACATCCAAAAAAAAGAAATTGGAAAAAGACCAGAAATATGTCAAAATGTGAATAGCAGTGGTCTCTGGGTGATTGGTTTTTTTTCCTCTTTATTTTTTTAAATGTAAATTTTTAACATTAAAATATATAATGTACTTTTGAATAGGTTACACATGCACACATGTTTTCCTTTATTTTCCTTATTTTATATATTTTGGATATATTTTCTAATCAAGAAAATTCAGGTAAAGATATCATTTGCCACTTTGTGAAGTGACTTTATACAGCTGAGTGAAATGAATGCCAGGACAGAATAGCTTTCTTGACCAAGGTCTGCCAATATTTAATGCATGTGTAGAAACTTTCTTTCATATGGCTAAACTTTCCATATGGTGAAAATTAAACTTGCTGCTTCTCTTTCACATTGAATAAACCATGACTCCTGTGTTTCTTTACAGAACACAAGGGGGCAGTATTAGATTGTTTTTGTTTGTCAAGACAGTCAGTGAATCTCTTTTAATACAGAGGGTGCCAAAAAAAGTATACACATTTTAAGAAAGGAAAACACTGTATTAAAATTGTAATAATATATGCTGATAACAAAAGATGAATATAAGTCACGTTTGACTTCTGCAATTACAAGAGGTGTTCAAAGTGGTGACCATCAGTGTAATTTTAATACAGTTTTTTCCTTTCTTAAAATGTGTATACATTTTTTTGGCACCCTCTGTATATGTTGCACTGAGATGATGAAGGCTCATAGTTCTCTGTTTACTGATTTGCAGGATATCATTAACAACACATCCCTTGCAGAACTGGAAAAGCGGTTAAAAGAGACACCTTTCAACCCTCCTAAAGTTGGTAAGAATACAAAATATAAAATGAAAACCCCCAAACTCTTATGTGGTAATTATGTAGTGATGTAAATTGTAGAAGAAAGGTGAAACTGTTCTAGAAACTATATTGCACATTTATAGATTTTGGCTAAATTAATTTGCTTATGCCCTGTGTTGAATTCCTGTTTTCTGAATAAAAATGGTCTTCTAATCTTACATCAGTTTTATGTTTATAGAACTGGGTAGTCTGTTCATTGAGAAGTTTGGCAATTAAGCCTTCAGGGCTTTTATTTCCCAATGCTTGGACTTATCCCCACACTTGATGTGTCCTTTTCTATGGTGCACTGTTTAAGCAAAGACAAAAAGCTGGTGGTTAATTGCCAGGGCTACAATGAAAATATACTTTTTGTCTCAGAAAAGCCCAAGATCTGGGTTGACAGATAAGGAAGGAGAGTCATCTCCACCCCGCCTCCTTCAGAGGTGGCTTAGGAGCATGACAGCAGTGAGGGAAACCAGAAGTGGGGGGCAGTGTTTCTCTGGGCGCAGATGCTTTGCCATATCTGGCCACGGCCCCTCCCAGGTAATTGGTAAACCTTCCAGGTGTTCCTTCCTAGGTTCCCGTTTGTCTAATTGTGCTGCTGATACTATGCTTAGCCTTCCATTAGCTGTAGCCTGCAAACTTCTGAAGACATTGACAGTGGGACCACGGGTTCAGAAATTGACAATGGAAGGGGTTACAGCAGCCAATAATACAGTTATTTGCTTCCCTTTCTGGGTAATAGGCCAAAAAAAGGAATTAAGAAAAGGGTGGTGGGGGTTGGGGGGAGGGAAGAAACCTCATCTTTTCTATAACAATATAATGGAAATAAATGATTTTGGAAATCTGTGTTTCAGCTGGTGGCAGAATAGAGGCTATTACTTAGTTGGCTATTATGTGAAAATATTTTTTAAAGCTTAAAGTCTAATATTTAATACTTAAGGGGTTTAAAAGATTCTTGCTTAAAGAGCACTGTACTGATGTAAAAACAGTAGTATCCTTTTCATTCCTGATTTTCCTTCATGGTTTTGATTCTTTTGTTACCTTTTTGATATTCATTTCCAGAATGGTTCTAGGAAATACTTATTTATAAGTTACACTTTTATCCTATTATTTCCAAATAATATTCTGGTATCTGGTAGGACATTTACTCTAAAGCAGATCACTCTTCTTAGATGTTATTCTGTCAGCATCTGTGTATGTCCTTGTGACAAAGAAATCATATTATAAAAAAATGGTCTCTCCTATGAAGTGGCCACATGTTTCACAGGCCATGTTACAGCAAGTTCTGATCTGTTTTTGGAGTTAGTTAGTTGCAGATCTTTAGATCTATAAGCTTGGCAACATGGTAGAGGACGATATTAAGTTGAGCTGCCAGTATTGACTAGAGTCTTTTGCTTTTTGGGAGAGTTACTGGGATATTGCTAGATAACAATTACAGTAACTGGGTAAGAGCTTTACTTGCATTAGCTCTTTTGAGCCTTATAAAAACCTCACAGAAAAATGAGGGAGGTGTGATTGTTACCTTTGTTCTACCAAAATGGAAGCCCAGAGGTGAAGTGGACGCCCAAGGTCACATAGCTAATAAGTGGTGAGCAGAGATTCAGACTCAGTGCGACCCCAAAGTCCACGCTGTTAATCGTTACTCCGAAATTCCTGTTGTATCCTGATGTTACATTACCTGTAAGGGGAGCCACTCCTTTTTGTGACCTTAGAAAGCAATCAGAAGAGGAATCACTGTCATAGTCTGAGTTATGTGTGATCATAAGTGGCACCAGGGTGCCTCGGGGAGGCCTGCAGCCGAGTTTTGGGAAATGTACCTGAGGCGTTGCTCTATCTAGACCAAAGCCCTCATTTTCAGTGACTGTTATCTCATATTGTAAGGGCCTGTGTGGCAAGAATTAAAAAGTAGGTAGTTTTTTTAATGCTTATTTAGGATTATTTCTGCAGCACACACTAATGCAATTTGGATTAGATGGGGCAGTATGCTTACCAGTCTTCGTGATTTGTGATGTCCTTGGGAAAACTGTTTCCTTTTTTTTCTCTTTAGAAAGCGCAGAAGGTTTTCCAAGTTATGACACAGCTTCTGAACAGCTCCACGAGGCAGGCTATGATGCTTATATCACAGGACTGTGTTTCATCTCCATGGCAGACTACCTAGGTACTCACTATACATGTGTCTGTCAAACACACAGAGGTCTAGAGTGGATCTTAACGGTCTACCATTTCCCTGGGATCCCATCACCCAGTTAGAAGTGGGAGGGGTCCGAGTCGCTGGAGATTGGGGTGGGGGCATGGGCGCGCACAAGCAGGGACCACGGACTCGCACCTGTGCTGTGGTACTTGGCCTACATGAGTACTTTGTACCCTTGCCAACCCATACCATTGATTTAAATATGTTTTTGCTTGAACTTTCAGGCTTTGTCTACTTGACTGTATCTAATACTCTGCTTCTTTTCTCCATTAGGTTCTTTTCTTAGTCCTCCAAAAATTCATGTGTCTGCCAGATCAAAACTCATTGAACCTTTTTTTAACAAGTAAGTTATTATTGGGTTCCCAGAGCCCACGTTCTCTCACTGTGGAATAGCCTTGTATCTGGGCGATCAATTAGGGATGATTGGGAGGTGGAGTGCAATTTTAGATGAAATATTTCT